AGCCTGTTTTAGTTGTTGGATTGGGAGGTTCACTGGGAGAACGATTTGGATTTTGACCCATGGCCATATTTGTTCATTTGCCCAGAGGGAAACCACCAAGGGCTGGGCATTTCTTTTTCAGGCCCCCTATGTTTTAGCACCCAGCTTAGAGCCCCTCAGTTAACTTGTGCGTTAACCCTCAGGTACCCCCAGGCAGTTCACCAATGGATAGCCCAAGGGCTACCCCCCGTTCCCCGAATATTCTGCTGACACCAACTGAACCCCAGCCCCAACCTTACCGCCATGCAGGGCCCAGAAGAAGCAGGAGCGGCGGGAGCGCGCGCTGAAGGCCAACCCGGGGAAGCCAGAAGGAAACGGATCATTTTGAGGGCGGCCATTGGTTGCTCGGTACCTTTTCATTGAAGAAGGAGATCCAACCCCTGGCCATTTTAGGAAGGTCTCTACTTGTTGACAGGGCTCCCTGAGTTCGTTCTTGGGATCCGGGACAACAGTGGGAGTGAGTCATTTGGACCCGAAATATGAATTTCATTGCTTGATCTGGGGGGACCCAGTGATGTTTGTTATGTTGCAATGGATTCGCCATGGCAGATATACCAAGGACAAACACCCTGGGCTGTCCTGTGCTCAAGCCCGCGTCGATGGAGAGTTTCCTGCAACCGATGTGTTCGGATACCCAAACTGGTTGCACTTTGCTGAACAACGGCCATTTGAGTTGCTCTCCTCCAAGCGGTTTCCTTTTGGTTTCCCTTTAAACTCATCCAACATGGGGTCCCTATTTTGAGAACCCCCCCATTTATGCTAAATTCGTTTCAAATCCACACGGCCCTAGCACATCGCGTGAGCGCAGAGAGGTGGCGTAGGTCAAGCTAAGCCTGACGCACAAGTTTTCAGTCGGTCAGAACCTCACTCGACAGGCTGTCACTACGGCTCATTGCAGCGGGTTGCTTGGCAGCCCGGGCCCAAGGGGCATGCAATCGCCTGCGTCGAGCCGTCAAACCAAACTACCGGCTCTAAAGCGAGATTGGGTATACTGGTATACTACTAATATCAGAGACAATATGGGTCCGTCTCAGAATAGAAGGCCCCTTTTGGGATGTGTTTTAAAGTGAAGCCAAACGAAGACCACCTGGATGGGGTGCCCTATTTGAAAACCTATTCTATTGATGGCATAATGACACTCCCTAGTTTGCTTTGGCCGGCGGGGTTGGGCTTGAAACCATCCACTGAGACCTTGGACACCTTGTGCCTACTGCGGAGAAGCGTCGGGCCCTCCCATAGCCATCGCAATCGCGATGTGCACGAAAGGAGCTTTGAGGAGCCGCGCGTGTGATGCATGGCAGCCCACAACACCCCAGATTTGTGTTTTGTTTGGTCCGGCAGCACAATTCGTTGGCCACATAATTTAAAGTGTTTGCTTTCATTTTGTGTTCTTTGTTGTTTGTTCCGGACGAGTTGAAGCTCTTTGCGCACGCTCCAGCGCCTGGGTTTGTGAAACAGATCGAGGTGCGGAAGATTCACGTCAGGGACCGTGCAATCCGGTGGAAAAACTTGCACCTTCGCGGCTGCGTGTCTAGTCGCCGACTTCTGGTCGGCTGCTTAGATCTTCCACCTTGTGCTCGGGAAAAAGTGGTTTTGTTCATTTTGTTCCCCACATTGATCTGATTTGCAAAAGGTGGTTGCTCCCAAGCCCGAAACAGGTGTGGCTTGGTGCGGGAGCAACCGCCACCTCAAGTGTGCACATTCTCACGGCCTCTGGAGGGCTACCAGTTCAAATCGGGGACCTGCCTCAGTTCCTTGACCATTTCTGTGGTTCCAGGCAAGGATTGCCAGCGAAGCTTGAGGCCTGGTAACACATCCGAAAGGATACCTACTGACTGAGTTTCCTGGTTACCGTTTTTTGGCGAAACGCCTGGCACCGGGTCAATTCAGATTGCTGAACCGCATGGATCGCGTGGCCAGCTGTGTCTTGCACAACGCATCCAGTTCCAGTTACATGGACTTATTTTTCTTGAGGGTGCCCTTTGTTTGGGGGTGGTGTAAAGGGAAAGCAAAAAATGAACTACACACATACCCAGATCTCCAGAACAGAAAAGAAGCGCTTTTGCCGGTGAAATGGATTCAATTGGTTGATGGTGTCCACTGCTGACTGAAGCTGGATCCACTAGAAGACCTGCTCCATGCACTTGCAAGGTTGAGGGTGCCTGTATGACACCCCAGGGAGGTAAATTTTCAGGGCGAGTCTGCGCTCCTTTTGGTGAACCCGAGTAGGGTTGGTTGACTTGTCATTTTGGGAGGATTGCGCACAACTTAACACAGATGCGAACATAGTCAGAAAACAAGATCATCACATGACCTGGAAGTATAAAAGCCCGAGAGCGACCTTGAAAAAGTTTCGATTCGAGACGCCGGTAGATTAGAAACTCTAGTGAAACTCTGGGCCCTGAATTGGACAATTGAGCCACCCATTCCAATAAGGAAACAGTAAATACTCCTACAAAACATTCTGCGAGGTGTTAGGGTTGTTTGTTTTGGCAATACCCTCTTTCCAACAATGGCAGTGGACGTTTTGAGCCTTGAGAGGATGAATGACATGTCTTCCAGCTCCCTGTCCACTTCCAGGTTGGAAATTGAGGTTGCCAGTTTCATACCAACGAAGGCTGCACTGGGAAGGGAAAGAGGGCAACACAACTATGCAATAGTTTACCCCAATTACCACGACTATGTGTGGTTGTAAAGTAGCCCATAAGCACATACAGTAAGGGCTAAGACAAGTGGCTAGATACAAGGGGCTACTGGCATTGCCATTCTAATCGTTTGGGCCCTTGTCTTGGCATTCGAAATGTTGATTTCGGAGTTCGAGTGGCCAGGCTCATCTCCAGCTCCGACGCCTCGCCAGATGCCAAGCCAGACACCGAGCCGAACTGGGTGAGTCTCGGTTTTTCCCCACCCGACAGGCTTGGGGTTGAAAGAATTTGCTAGTTTTGAAGTGATATCCCACCACGACAACCCGCCCGCAGACAGAGCCTAGCTGCGACAGCGCCTCTGATGACAGATAGCTGGTCCAGCAGCGACAGAGCCTGACAGACAGATGTGACAGTAAGTGACGGAGCCTGGGACGGACAGCTGCGACAGTCCAGAGCCTGAGGCTGCCCCTGCGGCGGGCCAGGACAGGCGTGACCTCAGGCCCCAGCGCGCCAGTACAGCCGCGACAGCTCGAAGTTTGAGGCTCCCGCCAGTGGCCGGGCCAGGCCCGCGCCGAAGTATGAGGCTCCTTCCACAGCGCCAGGTTCAGCGTCGCAGGCTCCCACCTGTGATTGTTTGCCACAAGGGGTGAAGCGCTCCCACCAGGCTGCCACAATCCGCAGACTGAGGCGAGCCAGAGAAAGCAATGAGCCGGGCAGATCAGTTCAGGCTGTTGATGCGGCATTCAGCACCAGGTTTGCCAGCTTCCGTTTCGCTCGTTGGGCCGCTTGGCTGCAGCATCTCGTACATAATTGCGCCTCGAGAAAGCGCCTGAAGCAGGACCAGTGTGCAGCCGCGGAAGCTATCCTGAGCCGCAAATGAGGAGCGTAGACTTTTTTGATTTTGGTAACCCTTGCCCCGTGATTGTCAGCAGCTATCAGCCCATGTAGTTGGATCTTGCGGCTACAGATGATGCGTTCTTGCATGAGCTTGCCTGGCTCCTTGAAGGGTCGAAACAGGAAGCGTGATTTCGGTAACAGCTAAGGCTGCTATTGAATAGGGTTCGACCTGGGCTACATTTCGTGGTTTGACCGGGTTTCTTTGCTTGAGGCCCCGCATGCTGTCGGGTTGACTTTTTGGCGCGCGCCTGTAGCTGGAGCTTTCTTGGCCCCGCAGTTTCTTGGGTGGGGATTCTTCGCAGTAAAGTAACTTTGGGGTTGGCTGAAAGAGCCCAGCAAAAGCTGCATTTTCGGCCCGTTTTGTGTGTGCCCAAACACCAGGTTGTTGGTTTCGAGCTGACAAACCACAAAACCAGAGCTGACCGAAAAAAAACACCCAACATGGGGTGTCCTTTGAAAGCATCTCTGGTGCTGGAATAGACCCCCAGAGGAACGAAAGCAAACAACTCATGAAAAAGAAGACTCTTTGTTCTGAGGAGGAGGTGTCACTCTAAGGAGTAACTTTGCTTGAGCCATAGCTCTGTGAAAGATTGGACCTTGAACTAGACCAGATGGTCATCGGCCCCCGAAGCTAAAGATGAAAGACCTGCAGCCGGCGCCGTTTCCCCTTGCCATTCCTAGATACCCAAATGGGTGTTTTGCCACGAGACCCTTCAACCCATGTGCCTTTCGGTTTGAGGGCAGTTCCCTTGGTTATCTATGGGAAATGGAACTGGGTCACTTGAGTTGGAATGACACCGAACTGAACCGTCCCTTGTTGGTATCCTGGAAGAATCCCCAAACGGTTCATGGCCAAACCACCAGTGATTCCGTATTCGCAAGCCAGAGGATCTTCAGTCTTGCGACCTTATATTTCCTTGGGCTTGAACACCGGGAGCTGATGACGTCATGCACAAGGGAAACCATCCCCAACAACAAACCGCCAAGCTCAAAGGGTTCACTTGGGATGGCGTACCACAAGGATTGCTAAGTGGCCATGACCCATGGCCCATGGCTAGGTGCGGCTGAGCCGAAGGAGGCAAGGAATTTGCTGTGTGGGGGGGGGAGAAACCATGTTGGAAAAAAAGGAATCTCCTTTGTCCTCTGTGAGTACGCCTCACTCTCAGGTGTGCCGTTGCAGTTTTTCCACCGTGGCATCTGATCTGTAGGTCCCAGGCAATTTCTTCGCAGGCCTAGGTCGCTGATCCCCAAAATGGCCAAAGAAAGTCGAAACTTGTTGTTTCGCCTAAGCATCAGAAAGGACCCAAAAGCAAAAGCTAAGCTAAGCCACAGATGGTTTCCCTTTGGTTGGGGATGCTCATAGTTCATATGTGGACCCCGTAACGCAGGATGGTTCGCTTGGTTCACTTGCTGGGTCCACTTCCAGTTTGCGCAGCTCCGCGTTTTTTGTGCAACATGTGGGCCCTCAACAAGCGGCTGACCCCCGCTCAACCCCCAAGTGCCGCCAGGCGAAGGCTCCAAGGCCGTCCAGGCCGTTTTGGCACTCGCTTCAAGTCGCTTCGCGTGCCGGAAACCTGGCAGACCCTTTTTCGCTTGAGGGGGGCTTCTAGTGGGTATGTAGGAGGCTACCTAAGGCACATGTGTTGCTTTAACTCCTCAAGGCACAAACCCAAACCTCTGATTTTTTCTGGTTAGAACACCGTAAACGGTTGGTGGCAAAGGATCCATTGCAGCTCTTACCCAAATGATTTTGCTTAAGAATATGTTTCCTCTTGGTTTTAAAGGG